CCATGTATTTTGCCATATATATTGTTCATGTTCATCCCTGAATTCAGTTTGATTAAAGGAACATTCAATGCACCATAATCACTTCATCTCACTGGATTAGTTATGGTGTTTTGAGTCCCCTGGCACTATCCTTTGGCTCAATATTGAACTGTTTTGGAGCGTTTTAACACTAAATGAGGGCACCATAAAAACTTAAATGAACCTGGTTATCGTGTCTAGTGTGTCCCTTTTTATAATGTGGGTGTCACGCATTTGACACACTTGAGGAATTGCACAAACATCTGGCACTAGAATGTTTCAATATTGACAATATATATGCTAAAAGCTGAGCCAGACAATAACCATGGATAATCCATACAAGGTCAATTCTATTTTCAGCTGTAAAATAATAACGAAGAACCAGCATCTGTCAGTTCATCTAATTAGGAACATCTCAGACATAATTACATAATTAAATCACAAAAGCAGGTTCTGCGTTCCTCGCTAAATAAGAGTTGAGCCTTCATCTGAAAAACTGGAGGCGACTTTGTTTGAGCTGTTTCTCTTCTGAATATTGCTTTCTCTGCTTTTATCCAGATTTTGATAAACCTGTTTATGAGAGAGGGGAAAATCTATTAAGTCTTGCTTTCAGATCTACGCCCTGGTGTTATATAGAGATGGTAAGTGGTACTCAATGCTACATTGTATTAGAATGTGGGAAACAATGAAAAAATATAAATAACAGAAATGTTAATTTTAAATGTTATTCTTTAGAGGAATGTTTTACATATTGTACTGTAATGTGGTATGCTACACATGGGGCATTATTTCAATCCCACACTATATGGAGAGATGTGTAATAGTTGTTGTGGGGGAGTCACTACAATTCTGGGGAGGAAATTCTTACTTTCGTGAATAGCCCTGTATGTGTTTGTAAGATTTCTTGCTGCCTTGCAGTGCCTAGCAGGGCCGGACTGGGGATACAAAGCAGCCCTGGAAAAAAATATATGTCAGCCCCATAAGTCAATGCGCCTTATATTGTCGCATGTTATATGTAAGGCTATGTCTTGCTACCCCAGATGATTGAGTAATACATATATCTCAAATATATATTGCTTTTTCTAATATAAAATATTGGTCCTTTCAGAGTAAAACGTTTAAGTATACAGTAAGCATACTCACGTGCAGACACAGACAATCTCACTGACAC